GTAGACCTCAGAGCACAGTACTGCTAACATAAGATGAGCATCATTCCCTTGAGACTTGTTACAATACGTGGTTAGTGAAAATCCCGTTTAAGGAATGCAGAATGTCCTATGGTCGCTCGATCCCTGAAGGGCAATACAAACTTGACAATCAGAGTATGTGCATATGGTAGTTCACTCGTGATTCTGAAATCCGGTATTCTTACCATTCCTATTTTCTGGAACAAGCCTAATCCGTGGCTAACAAGTCACATACACCTGGTAAGAGGCCGCACTAAATGTAACTTGCGAGAAGATAACACGTAGTGGCGAACTGGATGCAGCTGTCACAACTGCCTCGAGTATCGAGCCTGAGCCGAGTGGATGGTGAACACAAGCAAGGGTAGTGGGTTTAAGTAAAACAGGAAGAGGAAGAGAAAAAAACAACTTCCGTTTAACCGAGATTTAACGATCTTCTCACCCTATGGATCGCTACAATGTCATGCACGGACTTGCTACGTTGTCCATCCCGGCAGCTCTGGTGGGAATTGTTTTACGCAGGAACATGAACACCTAAGCCAATGATATGGAAAATCCATCGGAAAGAAAACAAACGGAATCTGTTTCTACATCCATATCTGATAACGGAGACTCACGAACAAACGACCTTGCATAGTGTTCCGCAGATAAACAGGATTTGTCCCGATCAGTTGTTGCTGCAGTGCCACTAAACCCTAAGAGTACCACGATGGGTGAACTAGCACTGAATTGTCATCGACTTTCCCATCCAGTGAATACACCAACCAAGACAATACATGTCCCATTTTTGCTAGTCTGCGAACCACTGAACAATCTTTCGTGACAGCCACGAAGTCAACCGCCGTTGCTTACTCGAGGAGTATACTGTTCCAGAATGGGACCGGTGCATGCTTCGTGAAACCATTAGCCCTTAGCATGACATTGCATACCACCCGACAAGTCGCATTACGTAACTCACAGACTCTAAATGGGCCGATAATGTGCTGTATGTTTTGTTACGGCAGGTATTGTCTGAGGCTAATGAAAACTGAGGAGTTAGCTGGGGAAAATGGAGTACTTGTATGTAAAGATATACAAAATTCCTATTTTCCAGTACATTTCGCTTTGATTCACATTTGTACTCATTATTATCGCTTTCCCAGCGTAATTGAAAGTATGCGTTCTCGGAATCAGCCGAACGCGTTCATCAACATCATTGAATGATGGGTCATTGTTGATATATAGCACGAATGAAGGTAGGGATGAAATGTACTTGCAAGAAATATATTTACTTGTTGTAAATGAGTAAATAAAGTTATATATGAGGCGCCATAAAAATTGAGCACAACCAATATTGATGAACCTCGTACGCGATTCAAAGGTATTATTAACGCCATTAGGTAACCCGTAACCCACTTATAACTATATCAAGTCATTTACTAAAATTAAGTATATTTCTATATGTACATATCATCATCATCACCTCCATTCCTGCTATATCTCCATCATTGTACGTTCGGCGGATTCCAACTTGTCGGGGTAACTCAGCAATGCCAGAGTGTACAACTGAACTAGTCGGCCAAATACCTGAGGCCGCGATAGCTTGACAGCTGAAAAGAGAAATGAAACACTGAAAGTACGATTGCATATAATGCAGCCAGCAAAAGCACAATATTATGATAGCACCGAAAATGACACACGTGTGTGAATTTGCACTCACCGAAACGTATTTGAGATAATGCATTTCAACTACCCAAACGCCGTTGCATCGACCACGTCTTCACACTCCGCCAGATCCTCGAGCTCCGCCATGTGTATCAGAGGCCAACGATTGCTGTGTTCCTGGATATCCGTGCAGCCTTCGATCCTGTTGATCCTACGGTACTGTGGCACTGCCTACTGAGGAATGGTGTCCCCGAGAAGTTCGTCTCCATACTGCGCGCTCTCTATAGTCTGACCTCGGACAGGGTTAGGGCTTATGGCAAGCTTTCGCCTACCTTTGTGGTCTCCAGTGGAGTTCGACAAGGATGCCCTATCTTTCCGTTCCTATTCAACTTTGCCATTGAGGATGTCCTGAAGAACGCTCTGGGCGATTCATTGAACGCTGGACTTGAACTCCCTCTAGGTAGTCGAGTTGTTGATTTGGATTATGCTGATGATATCGCCCTGCTGGGTGACGATGCACACGTGTCCAACTCGCACTAAACCGCTTAGTGATTGAAGCATCAAAGTATGGTATGTACTTTTCGCCATCCAAATGCAAGGCTCTCTTCCAAGACTGGCAGGTGCCTCTGCCTGCACTCTTGGTGGTGAGACACTAGAGGTTGTGGAGAGCTTTGTCTACTTGGGAAGTTGCATCACCGCTGGCGGGGCTGTTGGAGACGAGATTTCGATGCGCCTCTAGAGAGCATGCCTCGCTTTTTCTAGGCTGAGGCACGACATTCGTCTCTCCATCAAGGGGCGGGTCTATTGTGTAGCTGTTCATGCTGTACTCTTGTACGGATGCGAGACCTGACCCATTCGTAAAGATGAGTTGCGCAGGCTATCCGTCTTCGAGCACCGCTGTCTGCGGTCCATTGCCCGTGTGTGGTGGTGGCACCAGGTAAGCAATGTGGAAGTTAGACAGCGTGTCTTGGGACGTGGAAGCCACTCGCTCGAGGAGCTCGTCTCACTGCATCAACTGCGGTGATTAGGACACGTATTGCGTATGCCTGTCCAGCGTTACCGGCGTCGTGCGTTGTTTGCGGTTGCTGGACAGGGCTGGAAGAGACGGTCTGGTGGACACCCTACAACATAGAGAAGCCGCATGAAAAAGCTGACGAAACAGTTGGCCTCGGCCGGTTGTTGTCGGCTACCTGGTTGGGGTCCGAGAGATGCAGATACATGCTGGTTGAAGACCTTGGAAGCCATGGCTCAAGCTCGGTGTCAATAGCGGACGTGTGCATCGGTGCGTTGCGGTGTCCTTTTTCCGCCCCCTGAAAAAATTTCAAAAACTGTGTGGTAAACTAGACAAAAAAGCTTTTGCTGTTGTTGCTCTTTTCTTATTATTCATACTGTTTTCCTATTCAGCCATGATTCCGATGGTACAATATCTGTACCACTATATATATATATATATATATATATATATATATATATATATATATATATATATACATATAATATATATATAATATATATATATATATATTTAATATACCATTCCTTCCCTTGTGTATGTGTAGCTGTGACTCATTTGCTGAACGCTCCAACGAGGCCGGATTCATACCCATTTGGAGCTTCCCGGCCCGCATTCCATTTGTGTGATCCACCAATCCCACTGCTTTACCTGTCCTATAAACACACTGTGCACCTTAGTGCCGTGATTTCTTACACCGGGCGCTCTGAAGCTAGACTTGTTGACTCGGACCGAAACGATTGCCAGCGTAGCTGTTCTGAGTTTGGAAGCATCGTTGTGGTATTTATTGTATATGGTCATTTATTCATTTGTGAATAGTACCGTTATCCAGTTCCGGACTTGTTGTTCCTTTGATCCGGTGGAAACGCGTCACTCGAACCTTCCAAGTGAATTTTATCGCTTACAATGACAAAGGAGCAAGTGGAAGGAGAAACGCTCATCGTCATGGTTACTGTTTCTGTGACTTAGGCCACTGTCGTCCTCTGTCACCCAGCGATAAAAGTTGCGTAGTCGCAGGCCCTAATCCCTATACACTCGAGAGAGATGCGCGTTACCGCTCTATCGCTTCTAGACCGTCTGTCGTTTCTCCAGATGATGGTGGTTATGCGGTTAAGGCTAGCTCTGATGGGAGTACTTAAAAATGTTATATTTGTTATTTAGAATTCCTTGTTTGTTTGTGTTCATCATTGCTGATCTCGCTTGTCACCTGATCGTCATTCTTTCCTTCATGACATTGTTCGTCGTAAGATTCCCATTTTTTGACAGCACGAAATACCACCAACTTCCATCGCTGCTAGCGAGTTTGTGTCATCGTTTTACTGCTCTACTTTTATGCTTCACTGGTTCTTATGTCTTGCTCCCAACACATTCATCCTTCTGGATCTAGTGTACCGTTGCCCCTTCCCGCGCTGCGTGTGCTTGTCACCAAAATTAGGCCGCTCGTGCTAGGCTTGTCAGTGTTATTGATCCACTATGAAGACCCTTGCTAACGTTCACGATACAGCCATCCGTATCGGCGCTGAAAGACAATTTACCAACTAGAGCGGTTTGATTTTTTGCAATCATTGGTTAGTTTATTTCTGCATCGTATGCAAGCTCGGGCCGCCGGCCCATAGCCTGAAGGTAACAAGTCTACCTTTTAATCTGACGGCGTGGATTCGAGCTTGCGTAAGAACTTGGCAATTCTCGCAGTATTCTTAGCCCATTTGCGACTAGTGGTGGTTGCGCAGCAACGAAGCGTCGGTACTGCGTATGGCTAATGCTCTTTTTACGATGCTTATATGAACTTCCTGTATGTGATATTTCTCCCAATTTGACTAGAATGCGTTTTGGATGAGTTTGTTGTAAGAGCTGAGTTTCTCATCCAGTCAATACCAACCATTTACATCATCTGCTTTGCTTTAGTTCTTTTAGTTGTGAAGGTGCCTAGCCATCAAGTGAACATATAACAACACCAACGACCGCGTTATCAGTTATGCGCGTTTTTCACTCATCACAAAGCGACACAGCCACACGCGCGTGCTCGATGTGCCGTGCGGCTCTGCATTTGAATCACTATGCAATGCTTTCAAAATTATGTTTAACACATGTATGTCAGACGTGCATATTTTGGCTCTGGTTTTCTTCGGAAAAATGACAGTGGGTTACTCGTTTATTTTATGTGTAGACTGTTGGTTTCCACTGCATTTCGTATACTTGTTACTTTCCTCTGATTTTGACATCTTCTATGTTAATGCTTTGGAACTAGAAATATTTTCCGTTGGGCAACCGCTACTGTTTTGATTAATATGTTTATTATCCATGCCTGTTACTTTTTTCATTGACAAAGTGATCTACAGAGCATTCGGACCCATGCAAAACGAGATGGATCCGATTGGATTCTAAACGGCTCCAAAGTGTTCATCTCAAACGGTTATTTGTCCGATGTGGTGATTGTCGTCGCTATCACTAACCCAGAAGCCAAATCTCCCGCGCATGGAATTAGTCTGTTTCTTGTCGATGCTGGAACACCAGGGTTTAACAAGGGTCGGAAGCTGAAGAAAATGGGCTTTAAGGTAGATTCTTCTACTGTCCCCTTTCCCTGTCATATCCCTTTTCAATCCCGTGCTTAACTTCCTTGGGTACCATGCAGCGTTTAACATGTGTCGGTGATTATGAAAGTCCAACAAAGTGAAAACTTATCTGATTAACACCAGTTTGACAGCTTGGACTATTACGAACAAGTCTTTCATTGGGTTTCCAGTTGAGAAGTGTTCTTAACACCTTGATACGGTTTCTCATCAGGAGACCGATGTCATCGTTCAGTGAACGAGCTTGTTTTCCGTGCATCCCCACTAGTCTAATCTATTACAATAAGTGAGATTAGATTTGACACATGTTATTTGTATGCGATACTTCGATGAAGCAAGATGTTCTGTCAATAATCCTATGTGATAGACCCGGTATAGATTCGTTTCGGATAGGGTGTCTAATCGCTCTTCTTGTGATCGAGTTAGTAGGTATGACTGGATGAATTTCTTTCGTCAGGTCATGTTTGGAGCCGAATACCGACTATTGTAACGCTTCTTCTTACCTCTGCCTCTGACGACTGTGCTACTGCTGCTAGCTGCCCCT